CCCCTGGCGTCCTTGCGCCATCTCATCATCCGCATCCACATCCTTGCCGCTGCTGGCTGCCAGGCTGCCTGGCTGACTGCGAGAACAAAGGATCGGCTGCCAACAAGAAAAGGAAATTTGTGCTAAAGTGCACTTCCAGTCAAAGTGAGATGCGGATAACAGGAGCAACCACAACGCAATTTAATGAAGCTGCAAATACGAGACTAGGCGGCTCTCGAAATTATGAGTTCCTAGCCCGCCCCGGCGACTGGCGAACGGCTCATGGCTCAGGATGGCTAAGGATGGGAGTCAATGCAGGCTGATTGCAGAAATGCCTCATTTAACGGAAATCAAATCGCTTCATTTCTAAGTGGATAAACACACAAATGATGGCAAATAGCCATGAATGCATCTAGTCCACAACGAGTGAGCGAAATTGAATGAAAATTATGCTGCCACTCGACTGAATGGGCCTCGGTCCTCTTCTTGTACCTTCTGCTAGATGAAAAATAATTTTATAAAATAACTTGCCCTTTTTTTCAGATCAGTGAGCTTTTCGCCCCTCCACCCTGCTGGTGGAAGAAAGGCGGAAAAGCAGGAAAATTTCTTTGCTAAACAAAATTGAATTGTATTCTGACTGACGGTCGGCCCCAGGGCTCTGTTTTGTTTATATATTTTTCCTTTTCAGTTTTTTTGGCAACCAAATGAAATGGAGGCATTTCAAACGGAATATTTAAACAGGTCTTTAAGCACAAAGACCCAAGTTTCTATGGAAAGCACCTACATACATATAGTTGCTTTAATAAACATCCAAAAGGCATCCATACTTTGCGCTTTTAAGCTCGGTTTATTGTGTTCAACACAAAACTAGAATTCAATTTTAAATATTTTTACGGCATTCGAAAAGATTTCAATACAATAAAAGTGTAATTCGATATAAACAAACTTTTGCGTCTACAAGAGGAGTATAAAATGGAAAGAGCGGAGCACGTGGAGAGGAAACAAGTCGAAATGCTGACAAATTTTCATCGAGGGCAACCAGAGATTCGCCGCAGGCATCGTAAAATGAACATTTGAAGAGCCGAAAGATGTCGGAATGTGCAAACATAAAACTGCCACCAATTGATTGAGATGTAATCAAAAAGGCGACCCAAACAAGAACGGCCCACCGAGGAAAAACTCTGGCCGACAGCGACAAATGTGTAAACGCATAAAAATCATTGCCCGAACGGAAAAGGAATGAAAAATCAAATTACGCATACGCACTGCAGACCCAAAGGGAATGCCCATGCTGGCTTTGGCTTTGGCTTTCGCTTTTGCGTTTTGCTTTTGCTTTTACCAGTATTATGGAAAGGAGAAGCATATGGGAGTGCTCACTAATGCTAACTGGGGTTAAATGTGACTGCCTTTGAGCCACATACATCAACGCAAACATAAATTACTCGCCATATATGCGCATGACTAATTTGCGACTCATGTCTGCCCTTTGATGCTGCTGCCGTCCGCAAACTTTCGGCATTCATATTTTATTAGCCACAAGTCAGTAAGTTTGTGTTCTAAACAATTTATTAATCAAATGGGCCAACAAACTATGAGTCGAGCTCGGTCTGGCCGGGTTCGCCTCCCCAAAAAAAAAAAACAGGCCAAAAAACGTCGCAAGATCTGAATCCGAAACCAAAACCAAAAACGCCCGGCCATCTCCGACTGGTGTGTATGTATAATTTATGTGCCATGTATGTGTGACAAATTGTGTGCCAGAGGCCAAGTTTCGCTTTTTGTTGATATTTGCCTTCCTGCTCTGGCAGGGACAACGCTCCCGGCTAGTGTTGGGATTATTAAAGGGATACCAACAGAGATGACTCGGAAACAGCTATAGTTAACTTTAAATTGACTTTCTTAAGCTTTAGTTTATGATTGAACATTTGTGTATCTAATAGAAAATTGTTTTAGCAAGAATATCCTATATATATATTCCTCCCTATTTATATTTTAAAAGAATCAATGGCCAAATCGCCATCACTATTTCCAGCAGAATTGTTCAAGCATGGCGGTTGCTGTCTCTTTCCCAGCCCGTAGCTCCCATCCTCCATCAGGACCTTCGACTGCTCGTCATCTTGTCTGGAGCCCCCACAAAAGTGTTACAAATTTATGACATTTTCTTTTTGCATTCGTCGACCCTTTAAAGCATCTCGCACCCAATGGCTAAATCCAAGCCAAACAGCTTCGAAAAAGGTCAACAGAACGCCCGGGGTTAGGGGCTGGCGCTTCCAACAAAAAGGCAAGAGGAAGTAGTAAAAATGTTGTTTTCTTCTACGTTTTACGGTTTTGGGTTGGACATTTACAAAAAATCCTAAAAAACAGAGCGAGCGAAAACTGTAATGGGAAGCAGCAGCAACAAAACCAAGACACTAATGTCGCTCATCTTTTATTAATATTTCTTTGAGATTTTTATACTGCTGTTTTCTTGCCGCAGGGTGAGCTATGTTCTCGGTATGGGGTTTTTGGCTTCGGGTCTCGTAGACAGTTGAATGAACTATGATGAAAATAATCCCATACAGTTTTATGATTAAAGATAGGTATTTAAACTTTTCAAGAGCTACTGAAAGTTATCACAAAATCTTAAAATTTATTTGTTTTGTTAAATCAATATACTCTCGGTGCGCTCCTCACCAACTGACATAAAGCATTCGCCGAGCGGAGGAGAATGAACCCTCTGGCACTTGATTTGTTACATAAGGCATGTTGCTTACTTTTACTGTCATACTTTCTTTTATGCGGAGCTCTCTCCACAGGAATTTCCTCCCAAGGCATGTCTGCAAGAGTCCTGCCTTTGCTCCCTTCCGCCCCTTTCGGGAAAGTGATTTGGCGGAAATTGTTTTTTAATGTGGCAGACATTCTTAAACTATTTAACCAGAAGTGGCGGAGTCACTCTCACCGGAGCGTGGGCGAAAAAATGTCAACCATTTATCAATTGATAATCAATAGACCTGAAACCGAGACCTTTCTCTTCTTTTTCTTCTAAGACTGTGTGTGTGGGGAAGGCATTTTATAGTCTGTGGGAGAAGCACTGCGTGTCATGCGATAAAGTCCAGGTACACACATTTCCCTGCTCAGGCAGTACTTCTAGCTTCGCACATCCTCAGGACATTTGGCTTAACATCAGTTGCACCATTTTGACAGAACAGATTACAATAAAAGCGTTTTTATTCGTTTGCATGACTGGCAGTCAACTGGCAGATACCATTACACACATATTCATTTGGGCGGAGGTCAGGGTAAGGAGTAGCTTCATTAGCCGCTGGCACGATGTCGTCACATGTCTATTTGCCATTTAACCTCTTTATTGATTATGCCCTATTTCCAGCGGCAGTACACGAATTGGATTCAGAAAGCGACTTAGTGGAGCTACCTAAAAATAGCCTCCTGTTACACGTCCTTTGAGCTGCCAAGGCCGGAGGCAGTTTAATTTAAATTTAATTTGTCTGAGTAAGGATTTCATTAATTTGTGCACATGGCTCGGGAGCCGCATAAAATCGTTTGCATTTTGCAAGCGGCCGTAAACTTGGGCAAATAACTTAGTAATCATCATCAGCATTTTGGCAGGGCATTATAATTACATAAAGATGCGGTCTGCGTGTGTCTGCTCTTTACACAAGAATAAAAAAATAATAAAAGAAGCACTGGAAGTGCAGACAGCAGCTTACCTTTTGTCGGCCTGTTTATGACAGCTCTCACTCAGCCCGGAGCCTTCCCAACTCCCACACTCCCACACACAGTTTCCCAGCAGGAAAAACACTTGCAAGTTTTACGATTTTCAAATGATGTACGTACGAATTCATAGAATTTTATATTTAACAGCGCCCAAAAGTATGCAGTGTGCGCAATGGGTTTTTAGTTGTTTAGCGAGTTACCGGAGCTCTCCCCAGGACCCTGGTGTGTGGTTGTGTGAGAATGGGTAATTTTTCATTATTTGCTATGGCGCAGCTTTCCGCACACTCGCATTAATCAAAAATTTCGGGGGATCCTCCCACCAAACAAACAGAGGGAAACATATGGCCAAATGTTAGGAAGTGATTAAAAACTGTTGCTGGACATGAAATCACATAAATTCAGGGCAGGACTCATACTTTCTCGCTTGTTCGACCATCAGCAAGCATGACAAGCTCATTATAATCGAACACCGATGGCTCCGGAGGAGAAACTTTTTAATTTAGTTGAGAAAAGTAAAATAATACGCCAAGTAAAACCCATCATCATCAACCTCATCATTGGCAGCCGACTTTTCCAGCTGACTGACTGACTGGCTGAGTATTCGCGTGGGAAAGAAAGTTTTTCGAGCCTACTTTTCTGCACATTCACTCACCCACTAAATGCAAATTTTTCTAATTTGATTCTGTTACTTTCGCAAGAACCGCCGAAATGGTACCTTTTCTGTTTCAATATTGTTTTTATTTCCGCCCGCCCAGGATGAAATTTCATTATTTTTCTTTATGGCCGCAAAATTAATCAAGTAAAAACACACCAGAGACCAGAAAATGGATTTTTAGAAAATGCTTTCTTAAATGGAATATTTTCATTTGGCAGTTTCTAGGCTGATGGAAGCGAGGCAGCCGTTGAGGCATTTATGGAATTTTATGTTCCATTTTATGGGGTCATCAAAAAGTGTGTTCAATTTCACAAATTGGAGAATAATTGCGCTGAAAAATGGATCATGGCGGCAAAGGCGGCAACAGAAATCTTTCCTGCTTATTGACACTAATTGGTCTTTGGGTTGAACAACCGAGAAATTCAATTTGGCGACTAATTAAACGAGCTTAGCCTATCAAACTGCAAAGTGCGTAAATTATGCTCTTAATTGAAGTCTGACTTTCATTAGGCGGCATGCCGGGAATCCCTGGAAACAGGAGAAAAAGAAGTAATAATGCGATAAAGGTCCTAATCAAGTACAGAATTCACATTGCCTCTCAATTAATGGTATATTGTATTAATTTTAATCTGCCATAACTAAGTGTAGTACTCACCTTTCCTGTAGATACGCTATCCTGCAACGACAGAAAAGAAATCCTTATTAGTAAACTTGGCTGGCGCATTTTTAATTAACCCAGAAAACCATTTTCATAAGCCTCTTGCTTAATTGTCGAGTGCTGTTGGAGAGATCTTAACCACATGTGCTGAGGGCTAGCCGCCACAGAAAGTGCTTTCACCTTGGCAACGCCTCGCTTTCAATGGCGAATGTCAACCTTTTCACCAAGACTACTGTGAATAAACATTAAGGCTCAAACAACCCAAAGGCAAGTGCCATTGAAGCTTAACAAAATATGCAGTAGCGGGATGTTATTCGCTCTCGAAACTCTATTTAAATAATTCTTAAACTTAAACCATAAACATATTTTAAACACCATATGACGCATTTTTGAATTGCATACCCCCATCTGAACTAGCCGTCCATTTATCACAAACAATGGCAAAATTAGCCAAGCGACTAACTGGCTGCCCCATTTGGTTAGTCGGTTGTGGGCGTGGCAGTGCCCCGGCATCGCCGCCGGAGGGCGTCTCTGAATAAATGGCTTTCGCTCTGAAACTGAAACTGAAAACGCACAGACAGAGCGCCATGACAAGGACGTTGACACGGTCAAAGTGGGCCACGGGCTATACCATCCTGACAAACACTTCAAGGGCTTAAAAGGGGGCGTGGCAGGCTGTTGAGATTTATTTAAGGTCGGAAGGAAAGCCAAAGGGACGCGCCAACGGCGCCGAACGACAAAATGCAATTGGATTTTAATGCAACTGGAAATGCAGGAGCAAATATTCCATTAAAATTATATTAGTCGTCAAAATGCCGCCGCTGCACAAGCACAAGCCATCGTTAGTTTACGGAGGAAGGTATAATTTTTATTGGGCTTTCGCACAGCTCCTTGTAGATTCAATTAGTCAGCTTGAATTCAGGACCGGAGGTCCTGGCCCAACAGCTGCGAGCTAAGAAGGAGAAAGAATCGAGCCAAGTTGCCGAGAGTTAATCAGTTTTGCTAACTTCATTTGAGCAACTGACGGCAGGAAACTTTTGTATGAGGTGGTGCGATTCCTGTGGAGACGAATCCTCCTGGCGAAGTAGACCATGAGCCCCAACATCCCTGCCAGGCAATTACGGGCACTGCAATCCTTTACAAAACTCTGCCAGCCAGTCTGCACACTGCAGTGTACATATGTTTACAGGCCAGTTTTAGCAAATGTTGGCTGCGAAAAAACAAGCTTATGCAAATAAAACACAAGCTTTGCTGAAACAGCTTAAATATTAAATGTATTTGTTATGCGTTTTAGGTAGAAATAAAATTTAAAACCTTATGTGTTGGTACCCTTAGCCATAAAATAGCCTGGCTAGACAAATGCGGCTCTGACCAGCCAGCCGGCGATTTATGGCCAGGTCGAAAAAGCTTCGGAATCTGAATAGAGATTTATGGCCGGAAAATTACATTTCAAAATATAAATTGCAGCAGAAATGCATAGTCGATTAGAAGCCACAGCACTCACTCATAACTTATTCATCCTGCATTCGATTAACTAGTGCATACAATAGTCACAGCACAAATATTTAGCTCCTGAATGTTTAATCTCTGACTGGCTGATGTCAATTGGCTGAAGTTGTGCATTCGATTGCGAATTCCAAATAAATACCCCGACAAAGGTGTTGCAAATTTCATGAGGTTCTATTCCGGGATCACCGCCGGCTGGCGTTCCACAGAAAGTACTGGCATTTGACCCGCGAAGGCCACATGAAATTCCCCAATCAATTTTGCCATAAATCTCGGCGACCCGCAGCCAAGTCTCTTCAATTACAAAACAATTAAATTGTCACAAACCGAGTCAATGCCAGGAATCAGGGAAACGAGCAAAGTGTGGCACAAGGAAGAGCGCTATCTGCTCAGCACTTTCCACTCCGCACTGTCCATTCGATGCTTTTCCTTTTCCTCTCCGGCGAACTGGGACATCCGACTGTTGTGCAGTCAACACGTTTCCGCTCTAATGTGGCTGCACTGAGATAAAAAGTTGCAGCAACTAAAAGGACATTAAAACATAAGTTTACTTGGAAACTAAGCACCATTGGGACTGTCATAGTTTTGATATGAAAGTTTATTTTTAAAACTAACAAAAAAATGGAAAAAAAGTATCTAAAATTTTTTCTCTATATATAAAGCAAAGGAGGAAGGAACAAAGTGCACAGCTCGAACACAATATAAACTTCATTAAACGACAAGGCCAAATCGAACTGGCAAACTCAACTCGCCGTCTGTTTCCATTATTTATTTGCACCAAATTAAGCCCGGCCCCCCGAATAAAAATCGCAGAACAAACAACAAAGGGAAAGGACACGCCGGCAGGGGGTCAAGTCAAGTCAAGTGTCAGCATAAATGAAATTTCCCACCACAAACTTCCGGCAAGGGGAGACCGCTGGAGGTGCCCGTGGAGGTTCGCTCCCTTTAACAATTCATGTGCATAACAAAGGGAAACCGTCGCTCTCAACTTTTCACGGTTTCACTTTTCAGGTCCGTGTCGATTTCCCCTTTCGCTGTCTTTTCTTTTTTTTTTTTTTAACCCTTTCGTGGACTCCGGACATCGACACACTTGGCTGACGTCATTAAGGTGCAACCAAATGTGCATGCGGGAAATGTTTCCAGGTTACTTTGCATCCGAGCATTGGTATTTCGCACACAATTCAATTGCCGAGTCATTTCCGGTCGGAGCTAGCACCCTCGAAGCCCATTCAAGCTCAATTCGATTGGGGTTGCTCGTCGAGGAAATGATTTCCGTTTTATGAGCTTAATGTATAAGTGGCCAGCAAATACTAACATTTAACTAAAAAAAAAAATCAGCATTTGGCAGTAAAATTTTGTCAAGAAACTAGGGAGTGGGTTCCCCAGACTCACTTGTTAATAAAAAAATGTTTGCTCCTTTTAATCTCTGCATTTATGGTAGTCTCTCCTCCATTTTGTGGTAAGACACAAATGAGCCGCATCATTTCCGGCTCCCCCTCTCCTTTGAGGCTAAAAGGGTCGGGGCTCAGGGACTGCAGATAACAAAGTATGGAAGGAGAAAAAAATAACAACTCGCCAAGTTCTAGTGAAGCGTTACATTTGCGGGGTTCCGTCCGTTTGGCTTCAGTCGATGGTTTTTTCCCTGGTTTTCCGCTGCTGCTTTTGTGCTAACTTTTTTAATGAACTTGTTGATATTGCGTGTGTGGGTTCATGATGCCATCAAGCCAATGCCGCTGCTCTTTTCATCACACATGTACCCTTTTTTTGCGCTGTCGGTTGTCTGTCAAATGATTTGCTCAAGTGCGGCGCGATGTTCAATTGCGTAATTGACTTGTAACCTTTGGCACTCAATCCGCAGTCTACAATGTTACAGCAATTGAATAATGAAATTTAAACATCAGATCTTTAAAAGGCTTGCCTAAAGTTCTCTGAAAGTTAATAGTTTTTCCGAAAAAAGACTTCTTAATAAAGTCTTAAACGCTCTAATTTCTTTAAGCCGCAACATGCCAAAACATTATTCAAGAACTCACTCACTCTCCGCCGCCCAGTTGTAAAATATGCAACACACTTTGGCTATAAATTTTTGGGAGCACATAAAGCCCCTGCCCGCCTGCATTATGAATAATTAATTAAAATTTAATTAAAACTGTCTAAGTTGGCACAAGGCTTCCCGCCGTCGTTAAAACTAATGCGGCCTGCGGCGGCCAAGTCGGGCTAATAAATCAAGAGCTGGAAACGAAACTGATCCGCCAGTGAGTGTCGAGACGAGAGCTTGAAACGGGAGGAGTACCTGAACTACAACTTGGAGCCAGCCAGCCGTTAAGAGCGCTGAAGAGCAGACAACCGTCGAACCAATAGTAACACCAACAGCAACACAAAATGTAACAATTAATGTCATCAGCTTGCAATATCAACAGCGGCACCAGCAGTCAGATAAACAATGGCCACGAGTGGTCGACAATGCCAAACAACGTGGCTGACTACAAAATGGTCCAGTGGCCACCCTCTATGTACCGCAGATATATGTGTGCACACATAGCTGGATGGCACAAGGACAGGGAGGTTTCTTTCGGAGGCGACATGTGTGTTTACATGTTGTTTGGTGAGCGTGGCGATTGCAACTGCATAACTTGTTGGCTTGTCGGGGCTAATTGACGAAAGGGAACCGGTACCGAAAGCAAACAAACTCTATTTAATCCAATTAGTCCACCATTGTGAAAGACCATAGGTGCAATCCCCAATTAATAGCTATCTTAACTTTCGAAAACTAGATGAAGTGGAGCTAAAATATTTAGTCAATAAAATAAATAAAGAATTCGACTACAGACTCGTAACTTTAATCCGAAAAAATCCCAAGAATGTACGACATACCCCAAAATAAATAACTGAACCGTTCTATTGTCCCTTGGAAATTGTAGGGGAAACCCAAAATACCAGAGTTAAACGACCGAAAATTGTGCCACATTTTCTACGCATTTTCACACACAATCCCTCGTGCACACTTACAACAAAAAAGTACAGGCAGAGAGGGCACAGGACACAGGACACACTATCATAAAAAGGAGGCTAACTCTCAGCACTAATTAAGTCGAAACCTTAGCATTTACCTTGGGGCATCTACATACATGTTGAAAGTAGGTAAGGAGCAGCGGGCCGGGCTGGAACAGTTGGGATCTTGGAGGCTCCGAGAAGGATGTGTATTAATGGAAACCCTTGTTGCGAAGGCTTCAAGGCACATAAAAATGTCATATGTCAACTACAGGTTGCCTTGTCAGCACTCATTAAGCTCTTAACCTCATTCGGGCGCACTCACACCCACACGAGTAGTCGGTTCACGTGTCGAGCACTCGCCACACTCACACTCATACAGACAGACACTCACGCACACCCACCCATCCCCAGTTTCATGGCATCCTGGACAAATGCAAGTGAGCGCTTTATTACCAATGTCGACACGCCCGGCCAGTAGAGGACGAAAATGGCAGCACAATGAAGCTGTGAAGGCTTTTGTTTCCCATAACCCATTAAATACTTCTCTGGAGTGCAAGGCGAGTCTGGGAAATGTATAATAAACCAGGAGATGTTTGCAAATTAAATTAATTATCCTTTAAGAATTAATTTTTTTGAAAGTATCAAGTAACTCTAGTGGGGACTTTAACATTAAAGGATTAAGGGTTCAATGGACGAGTCCTCCACTTTAAGACTTAAACTTCGCAAATATATAGACGCTGTCTTTCGCCTTTCCCTGACTTGCCTTTCAATTAATTCAACTGGCCCTGTTTTGGCCCTTTTTTAACATTTTCTCGGCTCAAATGAATGAAATCAAATTAATTACGAAGGACGCAGAGCTGATAGCGTTCGCAGGAAGGATACTCCTCTCCGCTTCCTTATGCACATGCATGAAATTTTCTTTTCATAATTTATGCTCCTCCTTCCGCCAATTCTTTGTGACTCGGCATTTGCTTTCGCCTTTGCCATTCACATCCACATCCAGGCATTTCTCAGGCAGATCTTATCTGGCCTTTTCAGGACTATCAACTTTATCAAATGGGCCAAGTCCTATACGAGTTGAGATGGTCTTTCATAGAAAAAAACCTATGACATATTCTCATCCTTTAATATTAGTTTTCTTTCGATTTAATTTGATTCTAGTTTTTTTTTCAGAAATAGTCACAGCATATCCTGGCAAAGCATAGCATATCCTCGCATAGTTATGTCTTCTTGGCCCAACTTTTTGTGTATGCTCATAATTAGATTTCTCCTCCGTTTGATTACGGATGTCATCCTCATCATCCCCCACTGGTAGTGGCACAGAGAGTCAAAGAAAATATACTGGCAGCCGTAGTTTTAGCTTGCAGTCATTTGGCGCTTTGATATTGGATTTCAGTTTGCAATTTCCCCCACTTCCCAGTCCCGCACTTGTATCGAGTTCACTGCCTTTGAGCCATGGCAAGGAATATTGTTTAACAAGCTTCCTTGCCGGGGGCCTGTGGCAAGAGAAATTATTGGCAAGATTCATTGAAAACATTTCCTTAAACGGAGCTGTAGCAATGCCAAAAATGATGCCATTGACTATTGGCCGCCCCTGATAGATGCCATGATGGATGCACAGCTGAATGGACGGGCGAGTGCAGCTGTCAAAGCATTGAAAACTGTCAAGCTGGAAATGTTTGCGTCGACCTGTCACTGCAAGTTGGGGAAATCAAATATTTGCCATTTAACTTACCCTCTTGTGTGGGTTGATTGAACTTTCGGCACAGTCGTCTGTCTGAAAAGGAAACAATATTCACAAATATTACATAAATACGAGGACGAAAATAACTTAATCAAGTCAAATGAAATGCATTAGGAGCCGACAAAATCTGAGTCACAGAAAAGTTATCCCCCGGCTTAATTAGGCCAGCAATTCAATTAGTTCGGCAGACAAAGTTAAAGCTAATGCTCTGAGTGTAACCGGTACACAGGTGTGCTAATAAACCCCGACCACACACCGGCACACCTGAGACACTCAAAGGCGGGGGTCATGGTGAGCCACAAAATCAGAAATGTTAATTAAAATCACTGAGCGTTGAGCCTAGGCGACAGGCATGTTAAGCAGCCCCGAAATCTGTGGGGAATTCAGAACCGGGACTGGGACTGGGACCGGGACATTTGGGGAAAACTTTGGGGAAAAGCACACCGGAAAACCTCTGACCACACCGGGGAGGGCGAAGACAAATGTTGCAGATACAAATCTCACCGGGTTTATTAAACGCAGTGCTAGGTGCCAAACACAAACGAATTAATTATGAAGATGGCACGTAGTTTACGGCGGAAGCGACCAAAGTTCACCGGAAAATTAATTTTAATTGGGCGCATAAATATTTTAGAATAAACTGTGGGTAACATTTTAATCTGCGCAGCGATTGATAAACAAAATTTTGTCAAAACATTCCTCTCTTTCAACTTCGAAGTTGCCAATTTTGTGCCCCGGTTGCCAAAAAAAAAGAAGGCCAAAAGGTAAAAAAGCACAGGGCCACAACAAAGCAGAATTGCATTTAAAATTCGTAATGGACGTACCGGAAATACACAGTTCCGATCAGGAAGCACGGGGCCAGGAAATCAACTGAAAAAGTGCCGCAAAAATTCGCAAAGCCAAAACGAAAGCTCACAGGAAAAAATATAACCAAAAGATATGCAGGACCTGCTGCTGCTGGAAAGCAATAAAAAGCTTGATGCAAAATAAACAAAGGAAAGGAATAATATTTGTATTAAAAAGTGCGCTGCACCAGCGGCTCTCTTCCTTTTAAGGAAGATTTAAGCAAATTCAACCGCGGAGCAGCATCAAAGTCAAAACAATTAATCAGGTCTGACCTTACGACCTCGGCTGGACTCTGTTTAATCACTCGCTGCCTTTTGATTTCGTCTGAGCGAAAGTACCATAGTCGATAATTTGAGTTCCGGTCCCAGCAGCCCAGCAGTCCAGATTCCAACAACAAGTTCCATAAACACGGATGCTAACTTTCATTAAAAACCACTTAACCCTAGCCAGGACAACACAGACCACAGGAGGGGCGGCCCCCACCCTCTTGACCAGCAACTTGACCCACATGACCCCCAGTGGCACAGCCGGCCACGCCACGTGGATACCCCGTAACCGTAACCATCTCAGCTAGGGTCTTCACTCCAGCCAGTTAGTGTGGACGTCAGAGCGCTTAGAGGGCGTGGCACTCGTGCACATCGTTAGTCATATTTTTTACTTCGCTGGCCAACTTTTTGGCAAACACGAAGCCAAAGAGATACTCGTATTTTTAATTAAATTATATATAAGAGTGCGTGTGGGTGGAGTGGCAGGGGAGCGCGTTGCAAAATTCAAAAGCTGCTGCTGCTGTTGCCACTGCATACTTATGTGGCCAAAAAGTTTCAACCGGATTAGAGAATTAATTTAAAATCTTAAAAGGAAATGCCCATAGGACATTTCCACAGAAAAGTTTCGGATACCACTGTTGGGATTACATCGGCAAATGGAGAGCTCTTTCTTTATTAAAAATATTCTTGAATTCCTGTTACTTTTATGGCTAATTGTCAAGCAGTTGAAAAGTTTGCTGGCAAAAGTTACACTGCTAGTCGATCAGAAGCATCAGCCACAAAGTTTCTCCAAAAGAGGACATTCACATGCGTTGCCACTCCGGGGGTGTGGAGGAGTCAACGGTCGCTTATTTCTATTTCATTACCGCTGTTATTTTCCTTTAATTTTTCGCCGCCAAACAAACAAACAAAGAAAATCCGCAAAAAACAGTCAAAGTTGAAAAATGGCAGCCAAGAAAAAAACAGATCGAAAGCGAAAGAGACCTCTGCAGGGTGCACTGCAGACAAAACTGCAAAACTTTGGGGCCACTCCTCGCTGCCGTTTTGGGCCAACTGTTTTCTTTTAATGCCGAAGCGTGAAAACAAAACTTTGTCCGCATCTCCACACTCAGATTTTTGACTGGGACGGGGACGGCGTCGGGGCCACTAATGGCTTGAAATCGAAATGGATTTTCGGCAGTTTGTGCAAATATGTTTCCAAGTGGAGCAAAAAATGAAAAAGCGACAGAGTTCGCCGAGTGCGTCATATGCATTATTAGGCAAACTGAGCAAGCCAGTTAGATGGAGGAGCTGGCAAGCCTCAGGGGTAAAAAAGCATGCGAATATGATATTTTTGCAATGTTATTATAAAGCTATAGATTTGCTATTGCTGGAATATATTTCACCTGGGAATGGTGACATCCGTGCTTAAATTAAAAGCTGCACTTGATATCCCGAAATGCAAATATGCAAATCACATGCTAATCAACGACACGAAATGAAACCCGGTATTGATATATATCCAATATATATTACAAATTACTCCCCCACCCGGGGGCTGGGCGTCGATTGTTTGTTTGTGTGACCCGAATAACAGTTTGGCAAAATGCAGAGCTCCATTTCCGCAGACAAACAGTTGAACAAAAGCCAACACCCCCCAACTGGGCCCGGAATTTTGTGAATTTCGCACACTAGTCCATCTAGTCCGGCTAGGGCTCTGCCCCCAGTCAGGATAATTAAAATTACTAATTGAAAAGGTCCGACAGATACACGGCTGCTGGGAATAAACGGCTATCGGTGTGTGCTCAACACGCGTTTTGAGCCCTGCCTTCGGCGATCGATCAAAATTGCCTGACAGAGCTGTAAATTCCATTTTCCAAAGCTGAAAATTTTGGCTAATATCTAGGGAGCCAGGGTACCTCGGAGGGAGCTGGTTATGGATTATTTCTATTCAAGAGCTGAAGCCCTAAGCATAACTGGCTCGACACTTTCGGAGATAAGCAAGGAAAAACCAACCGCATAACTTGCTTTCCATAAATTTAATTCAATACTTTTGTGGACCTATGCAGATTTGGCCAGAATTCCAATGCCAAGAAGGAGAAATCGGAAGGGGGAATCTAACAAGGACGGGCCAAAAATCGGGCGACTCGGGGTCAGAAATGCATCAGAGAGCGCTAACTAACTGAAATGAATCCTCCGATGCAAAAGACAAAAATAATTTGGGAAAAGTTCGGTCCGACACGAGGGTTCCCGGCACACGGTGAGCGATAAACAAACTTTTCTGGTCAACGGGTCGGCTAATCGATTTTCCCTGCAGCTTCAAAGGTTGGTCGGTAACAGGAGTGGCCCGGGACGACATGCGGTCTCCCAATTAGATATTTTTGGTTTTGATGTTTCGGCAATAAGTGAATTGAATTCCGGCTCTCTTGGCAAGTTTAGAACTTTGCGGCGACTGTGGTGGCCAACCAAGACTGCCGCAAAAATTAGTTTCTGTGCCGCTGCCAAGAATGCCAAACGGAAAACGGCGCCAAATGCCTCCAAATGATTTAGGTTTCACAAATATTTGGCATGCGAGTAATTAAAAGCCAAATTGTGATTAAACGAAGATTTGTTTTTAAGGGCAAGTGGAAATTTACTGTTTATCTTAAAGCATAAGTCCCAAAAAAGCTTAAAGTCTGTCTAGAGTCTAGACTCTAGAATCCTACGGTGGCTAATTCCCATTACCTTGCGGGGCGGAAAGTTGACCATTTTTGGAGTTCTGCAGCCGAGTACTTTGTCGGAGGGCACATAAATCTTGAGTGAAAATTTTCGTTTGGCCCATAAAAAATTAACAATGCGTAAAGAGGCTGGCAGAAATTACGAGGCAGAGTTCTGCAAGGTTCTGAGGCAGGGCAGGGCTCCTGAAAGCCTGCCAAGTATGTCTCTGCTGCACTCGAGGCCTCCAGCACCCGAGCTGCACCCGCACTCGGCTTGGGAGGTGCGTTTGTGGGTTGGAGGTTTGTGGTCCAGTCGGATGGGCTCCGTGGTTGGCCTCCTGCACGCCTTGTGTGCCACAGAGAGAGAAATCCACTTTCAAATCGTATTAGACACTCGAAGTTCAGGCCGAGAAATATTGGTTTTATGGTTTTTAGGAATTCGGATTAGATTCAAAGTCTTAAACAAATATTCAAAAATATAAACTAAGTGTACTTTTAGGGTATTGGTTGGCAGTGTAAGATTTGGACTCAAACGAGTCCAATGTTTGCAACCACTAGGTTCACCTCTGGACTAAGTAAGCCGGATCAAGTGATTTCCCATTCCACTCTCTGTGTTTCATTTTGTATGGCCGCACCCTGGGTCCATCTGCATCCTGGAACGGTCCTTGGACCGTCATTTATTCAGTTTGTGGGCTAAGAGTGCATTGGAGACTATCGCTGGCGTATGCCACGCCTCACCCCTATTTGGGAATATGTGTTAACGTATTCCCTTTCGCATGTAAACATTTTATTCTGCCATTTTAAATACACCCAATCTGGCATTAAGCCCTGCCAGGCAAAAGGCCCAAAGAACCCCAACGGAGGTGGGGCATCCTTGTCCAACGTGACACTGAACACGTTTTAACGATGAGCAGCTTCTGGCCCCAGCCTTCATAACTTATGCACATAGATAAGCGACGCCAGTCCTCGTCCTTGCGGTTGCTCCGTACATTGTAGACTTTTTTTCGGTTCGGCGGATTGTGGAAGGAACCTCCGGATCCTGTTGTGGGGGCTACCCAGTTTAATGCTGCTGGCCATTTAAGCAAATTATGAATTTTCATAATTCTGTATTGTATTTGCTTAAAGCTTGAACCGAAATTAGGGCGGGCGAGTTTATAAAAAGAAGCGGAAATTATGCTGAATAAATAATACTCCCAAACTAAGGTAGCAGCTCCTGGGTCTTAAAGAAAAAGTCATATGTTTAGGC